GCGTTTTACCTTAGACTCAAGGCGAGGTGAGGCGAGCCTCAGCACTGATAATAAACGTTATGATTGAAAAAATTTGATGAAAAACACTCAATGGTGTGTGATGTGTAAGAGGAGTTCGGAATCAGCGGATCACCTCTTTCTCCATTGCTCGGTGGCTATTCAGTTATGACAGTGTCTATTTGGCTTGTGTGATGTTAAATGGGTTGCTCCACGGGATTGCACACATATGCTTCTTGTTAAGTTTGATGGGTTTGGCGGATCTAAGCGAGCCAAGTCATTGTGGTCATGTATTGTTTGTGCTATTTTCTGGATCATATGGCTGGAGAGAAATGCACGGATCTTTAATGGAAAGGAGGCTGATGCAGATTTTTGGCATCTTTGTGGGCCTTTGTGTCTCCTCCTTTTAGGGGAATCCCTCTTTTCTTGATTTCTAGGGATTGGGCTGTTGTTTGTAACCCTTAGTGTTTGGGTTTGCTTGTTTTTTCTCTTTTTATGATGGCTGTGTTTTACTTTCATCATGTTCCTTTTCTTTGTATGAGGATTTTTCGTCCTCCTTTCTTTCTTCTTTAATAAAATAAATTTCGTTGTTGTTTCAAAAAAAAAAACTTTGACTGCTTTCCATCAAACTCCACTTACTAAATTGAACAAATAATTCCAGACAATGAGAATGCAAAGGAAAAAGAAGAATAGAACATACAATCAAAAATTGGGGTCCTATATTGCTTGCATTTTCTTTCCCAAAATTGAAAATTCAACTCAGATAAACCTTACTCCACCAAGTATTATTAAGTTTGTGGGAAAACTTTTCTTTTTCATTTCTATATGTTCTCCTACCAACTAGCCAAAGAAAATACATTAAAATCCCAGGAATTTCCAACAAGGCAACAACTGAGAAAAAATGATTGAACAAAAAGGCCTAGCATCTGGGAGAAAAGAGAAAATCATAAGACGCTCAAGCATTATCACATGAGATATTGCTAACTGAAACACAAAGGATAGTCTCATCTAAACAGCCTTAGCCTCATAATATATAAGTCTCATTAAGCAATTACCAAGTCAAATAACAAAATTTACATAAATCGCCCAAACAATCAGCATAGCTTTAACACATAATTCACCAACTCTAGGGTTTCAATCTATCAGAAAAATAAATTTTCAAAATTTGTTCTGTATGTGCACCTCAAAAAAAAAAAAAAATTCTGTATAGAAATAAATAAATAAATCCACTGCTATGTTTGTTTGGAGGGAAAATATTCTCTAAATTTTTCCAAAAGAAATAATCATAACATGGTGGAAAATTTCCAGGAAAATATTTCCGCCGAAACAAACAGACCTTAAATTTCAAAAAAGAAAAAATGGACTGCAACTTTACAATGAAGAGTGATAAAAAAAAGGAAAAAAAAATGACTGAAACTTACTCAAAATTGGTAGTAATTTGGACGACCACTTCTGAAGATCACCAAGAACAGAGAGAGACACAGAGGAAGGGATTGTGAGAACGAGACGAACGAGACGTGCGGGTCCAACTCGCCGATTATATGGGCCGTGAAATGTCAAGAGGTGATAGGTCAGCTCGCAACACAAAAGTCAACTGATTCGCTCTTGAACCATGTTTTCATGACACGTGGTTAATCTACTAAACATGAACGTAGGTGATTGTAGCCCTGAAACGAGTTCACCCGCGTGGCGTGTTCCATAAAATTGTATTGTTAATAGGGCAAATTACACGGACACCGATGTTTATGTTTATTACCATTCTTCTCAATTTTTTAGAAATTACATCCCTCGCTTTAAAGTTTAAATTTTATTATAGAATTTTCTCTCAATAATTTAATTTTTTAAATATCAATTTTATCCTTATTGAATATATTACATTGACGTGCCTCACATTTTAAAAATTATAATTCTCTCTCCAAGGTTTAAAGTGACATTACTAATTGCCCCCTTGATTACTATTAGTTGAAAAAAAAATTAATTAAAAAAAAATTTATTAGTAAAATTTTTAAATTTTTATTTAAAAACCAACGTAAACTCATTTTTTAATTGAGACAACAATTTATAAACTAAAAAATTATCAAACAAGTTTTTATGACAGTTTTTTAATTTTTTGTAAATATAAATTGAAAACTGAAAACGAAATGGTTACCAAACAGCCTTCAGATGGTAAAAATATCGTAAAATTAACAAATAATTAAATAAATTATCAACGTAAGAAATGACTTATCAGAAAATTCTTAGATTATGTATGGTTTGATTTTTAGAATTTAAAAAAAAAATAAAAATTAATTTGGTTAAGAAATAAAAAATAGTTATCATTTTTATATAATTTTTATCTTTCGAGCGGCTAGAAATAATTTTTTACAAATTAAATTGAAACATTCATACGTATGTATATAACCTGTCCAAAAGTTAAAATGATAATTATTTTTTACCCTTAAATGATAATTATTTTTTATTTTTTATTTCTTAACCAAATTAATTTTTAATTTTTAAATTTTTTTTTCTAAAAATTAAACCATATATACCCTAAGAATCTTTTGATAAGTCATTTATTACGTTGATAACTTATTTAATTATTTGTTAATTTTACGACATTTTTACCATCTGAAGCCTGTTTAGTAACTATTTCATTTTTAGTTTTTAATTTATATTTACAAAAATTTTAAAAATTGTCATAAAAACTCGTTTGATAATTTTTTTGGTTTATAAATTGTTGTCTCAGTGTGTAAATTTGAGGAAAAAATATAAATTTATAAAATGAGTTTACATTGGTTTTTAAACAGAAATTTAAAAATTTTACTAACAAAATTTTGTTTCAATTAAATTTTTTTTTAAATAATTTTTTTCCACTTAATTTTTTTTTTCAATGAATTTTTTTTCCAACTAATAGTAACCAAGAGGGCAATTGATAATACTACTTTAAACCTTAGGAGGGATTGTAATTTCTAAAATGTGAGGGGTGTTAATGTAATTTCCCATTGAGGGTAAAATTGGTATTTAAAAAAATTAAATTGCTAATGGGAGAATCTGTAATGAAACGTTAAATCTCAGGGAGAGAGGTGTAATTTCTAAAAGGTGAGGGAAGAACTGTAATAAACATAAATCTCAGGGTGTTATTGTAATTTACCCTTGTTAATAACTTAAAAACATATTGGAAAAATACTTTAACCTTTTGTTTGGAAAATGAGTTAATTTTTTTAATATTTTAGTCAAAAATTTGTTTGGATTGGTCTTTTTGATTTTTTAAATTTTTTTGTGAAAGAAAAATAAAATAATTTTAATTTGAATGTGACATTTTATCTTATTAATTTTTTAATTTATTTTATCTTTTTATATTTAAATTAGTCTTCAACCTCATTTTAGTCCCATACCAATAAGTTCTCAAATTATTTAAGAGATTAGGATTTATTTTTTTTAATTCTATTTCTAGAAATTTTATACATTTATTTTTTTTTTAAAAGTTTATTTTTGATAGTTAAAATATTTTTTTCTTTTTTATTTATTTATTTATCTTTAACTTGTTATTGTAATTTAATACTAGTTTGCTTGTTAATTTGGTATCGGAGCCACCACGAAAGTGGAAAAAAATTTAGAGAAATTTTTATGAAGTTAAATGCAATTTAAGAAGAAAAGCCAGACCTAAAGAAAATTGTTATAGATTTCTATAAAATTCTTGATTTTTTATTTATTATTTATTTAAAGAATAGTGAAAATATAACTCTACTTCAACTTTGGTTTGAAACGTTCTTTTTCACTATAACAAAATTATTAAGATGGTGTATAGTTAGAAAATTTGATGATAAAAATGGGGAAAAAAAAAATAGAAAAAAGAAAGAAAGAAAGAATTGATAAAATTATAATTCCAAACTATTTTTAGTTGAGTTGATGAATGATAAAAAAAATAAAGTTAATCAAAAAGACAAAAAGTGAAATTACATTTCCTTATTACTTTCTTTTTTGCAGTATTTTTTATTATAACCAAACAAAAAATAAAATTACATTTTCTTTTCCCTCTATATTTCCCTCATCAAATTCTCAAACCAAACACAACTTAAAGAGTAATAAAAAGACTTGAATGTCTGCCAATGGTCTTTATTTTTCTCTTTGTTTATTTATTTATTTATTTGGACTAGTAGAGAGATTTATTTATGAAGTAGAAGTAAAAGTTTATAAGTTTATTTATCTCTTACTTTCCTTTTCCAATTATTTTCGTTCAATTTGGGCTATGACAATGCGGTAACAAAATGATTCATTTAAATGAAAAAGCAGAACATACCAGAGAAGAGAACAGACTCTTTGTGATGAGGAATCATTCAAATGGATGGACTCACCGTTGAACAACATACTACTTGGTTTACAATTGTTGCTATCTATATATATATACTCTCATATTCTTGCCCAAGCATGTTTGAGGACCCAAAATCTGGTCAGACAATTATGACATCAATTGAAAGGAAACATTTATTAATTTTCTGTAACACGACCACATCTATCTTCCCTGTTTTTGTAGGCCAGTACTACAATACAATTGCTTGTGGATAACAACCATTAACCTCCATGTGCAGAGAACCCCAGACTTGCTTGCATCTTTCCCACTTTGCCTGCACACGAGCAAGAAATGCCACTGCCCATGGTTCACTGCTCCCTTCCAGGCTCAAATCATAAGGCACTGAAAAACTGTTCAAGCATTTTGATGCGGAAATACAATGTAAAAAAGGCTTATATTGGGAAAAGCCTCCCCAAAATCTGGTCAGACAATTATGACATCAATTGAAAGGAAACATTTATTAATTTTCTGTAACACGACCACATCTATGTTCCCTGTTTTTGTAGGCCAGTACTACAATACAATTGCTTGTGGATAACAACCATTAACCTCCATGTGCAGAGAACCCCAGACTTGCTTGCATCTTTCCCACTTTGCCTGCACACGAGCAAGAAATGCCACTGCCCATGGTTCACTGCTCCCTTCCAGGCTCAAATCATAAGGCACTGAAAAACTGTTCAAGCATTTTGATGCAAGTAACTAGTATTCATACTAATTATTATAATTACTTTTCACAAATTTACAGGGTTATGTCAAATGAAATCTATGAATTTTATCTTACAACTGTAAATTTTATGTTAAATACAAGCAACGTAATTAATTATATTCTCAAGATGTTCAGCCTTACATCTCCCACTTTCAAAAACGTTGTCCATGTAGGCACAAGGCATGTTTGTGACTGAGTAATTTTATGCCAGCAACCTTATTTTGCACTGAGAAAAGGATTGGCAAAACAAAATGGGAAGTATGGTGACACAGAAGAGGGGTAGCTAGGATTTGCAGGTCACATGGAAGTTCCCGAGATTGACCTGATTGAATGATTCTACACATCATTGTGGTATCTAATTCTATAACTGTTCAGCATATTTGACGATGAATGTCCACGTGTCGATTCATTCACAACCAACCATAATGTGTCACAACTTTGACATGTACAGGAACTTTGCCATTGTTATGAGAAGCAGAGGCATTCTGATAATTGTCTTTTTGTTTTTTTCAAAAAGCAACGAAGAATTTTATAAAGCATAAGCAAGAAAACCGAAAATAAACAAAAAAAACCCAATCATTAAGAATGATAAACAGCAGCCCAATCCCAATAAATCAAGAAAAATGAAACTCCTTTAGAAGGACGAGACACAAACCTAGAGCATAGCCAAATATCCCGCCTTATCCCATAGAGATTCTGCATCTGACTCCTTGCCATCAAAGATCCCTACATTTCTCTCCAGCCAAATAGACCAAAAGATAGCTAAAAAAGACCATAAAGATTTGGCTCTCTTATTGCCACCAAACCCTTCAAACCTAATAAGAAACTATTCGAAAAAATGGGTTTTTGGTGACTTTGGTTCTAGATTCTTTGCAACAAGATCTTTATACCACAAAAAAGAATGACCAAAAACCATTGGAGATTGAATGAGAAATTGTGTCATAAAGTTGGCCTCATGTATGAGAGATTGAGAATGACGATTGAGCATTTTACACATGGTCTAACCATGAGGAACACATGGGCCTAATAGTGTCTTAGACCATGAGGGACATATGGCCTTAATAGTATCTTAGACCATGAGACACACAAGGCCTAATCATGAGAGACACATGGCCTTGCCATATGTCTTGCCGAAGATGCCAATATAAAGGTATGCTCAACATCGCGAATATTATCATAAAATAGACTAAGTTCTCTCCTCCTCTTTTCCCCATTGTGTATAAAAGAAGACCATCCTCTTTGGTTGAAATACAAAACTCCTTTGCTCTCATATTATAATAAGTTTGCTCCTGTAATATTTTTCCTGTGTGAGAGAGTGTTGCCATTGTCAGTTCGCCAGAACTAAACAGAAAGTGCTTCTGTGTTGGCGGGTTTTAACCGTCATATCCAAGGAGATAGACACCGACATACTTCCAGCATCCACGGTGAGACGGCAAATCTATTTTAAGGAGACTATGGTATGATACAAGCTTCAATTTTCTTTCTTTTCCTTATCTTTGTTATATGTATTTCTATTCATTAAGTTGTATGATTTATCCAATGATTTCTTATTTTTGTAAATCAATTTAATTAAATAAGAATCTATTTATTTTTTTATTTAAATACGCAATTTGTACAACAATCTTAAAATAGATTCTATGTTCTTCATGATATTAGATAAATAGATTCATATGTAATTGTTTATGTTTCCCTAGACAGTTTTCGGCTTCTGTTAATAATTGTTAATTATTCAACACCAAGAAATTACATGTTACTATTTTCTGAGGAATTGTACTGCTTTGATTTTCCTGATCTCCACTTACATGAAAGCAAGTCTGATTCATTGCATGCTCATCAATTGGTGTTTGCTAGTGATTTGCAATGAAAAAAAAAAAAAAAATACTGAAACTGTTACGAAATTCATGATTAGGAGTTCAATGTATTTTATAAAGTAGTCTACTGTTTCCAACTTCTTGGTGAGAATTCAATTTATTTAAGTAATTAAATAATTGCCTTATGGTGTTTGGTCCTCATATTGCTTTCTAGTATAATTTAATTTTATGGGCATCATTTTTAATTTTCTACCATGATTTGCATGCTTCTTTATTTTATGATGTTATAATATAATTTGCACGCTCATGAGTATTTAAATTTAGTGAGAATTGACATGCTAATTATGTTCTACTTTTCTAGTATAATATGCATGTTCTAAATTTTAGTTTATATTACATGCTTATTAGGTTCTAGATTTGTAATGTAATTTGCATACTAATTGCTTTCTAATTTTTAGTGTAATTTGCATGCTAATTTCTTTCCAATTCCAAGAATTTTTGCATGATTTTATTGCTAGGAGTATTTACATGTTTATTGTGTAGTAACTGCATATAACTCTTGCCAATTAAATTAATTTTAATTTAATTTTTAGAGTTATAAGTTTTTGTAAGCTTATTGTGTAACTTGTATAGTATTTTAATTCTTTAGTTAAGTTTGCTATTAAATATATTGCTAGAAGGTGTAAATTAATTTATTACTTTTACAATTTCTTTCAATTATTTATTTTATATTTTGTTGTGTTTTTCTACTAACTTTTTTTGCAGGAATACCTATGCGAAAGGGAATGAAAAAAATAAATAAATACAAATCCAAATGAATAGAATTCGGAATTACAACAAAAGTTTTGGACTATTAACCTTTTTGTTGAACATAAATACCCAAACGTGGAAAGAAATTTTTAGACCAAATAGAATCCTTAATTGGATTGGGTTGTTATTCTTTATAGTTAAAGCAATTTTTTGCTTGAGTTTTAGTAGTAGTTTGATTTCTACTTTGTAATAATTTCACCATAGTAAAAGGAAAGAGGGAACGAAAGAAATTATAAACCTTCGGGTTTAGAGAAAATCTTTGAAATCAATTTTGTTATTCTCAAAGTGGTTTGGTTTTATGTAATAGAAACCAAAGTTTAGCCTTGGCTAAAGAGTATCTTTGATTTATATTCAGACATGACAACTAAGATGGATTTGGTTTCAAACCTTTGTTGTTAAAGGAAGTCTCTGGATTTAATCCATTCATTCCCAAAGTAATAGAAAACCAAGTTTTGGTAACGTCTTTGATTATCATTTGATTATTTTCAAAGTATTCTGTTTTGAAAAAAAATAAACCAAATTTTATCATTAACTACAATATTTTTTATTTTTATTTTTATTCGGAAATAATGAACTCAGTTCTGGCCATACCAGTTAACCTTTATGAGTGGTGTAATTCTGATAGCAATTTTTAATTGTTTGTAAGTTTTGTAAATTTGGTTTGTTTTAACCTAGTTTATCCCCTAAAAAATTTAATTCTAAATTTGTTTCCCATATATTAGGAGTCAACATGCTCTTGAAAGTTTTGTCTAAGGTTAAATGGGTATTAAGTGGGATCGGTGTGACCCCTCCAGTCTTTTTGGAAATTTTCCTGACCATGTTCGATTCTAGGGTAAGTAGTGAGATCAGTTTTGAATTAAATTTCAGACTTCGGGATTTTCTAGTGTTAATTTTAGTTTCTGAAAAAACAGAATAGTGAAATTCTGTTGTGCTTTTTCAGAAATGGCTTCAAGAGGTGACAATAGAAAATGTTGTTCGACCTGATAACCTTAAGCCTTGCGAGGTTCTTAAAGGAAGATCTTGAGAGATCAAATGTGATTAAAAGAAATCATAAGATTGCATGATAATATCTCTGAATTAATTAGAGGCAATTAGTATGTTATCCTTGGGTTAACATGTATGATTGCTATGTGACTTTGCTTCAGAGCAAAGATAAGACAACCTGTTAGGGTAGGTGAATGTATTTCTTTTTTAATTTTTATAATTCTAAATATATTATTGAATTGGTGGCTCCCAGTGAGTGCAAGATCACTGATCATAGAGATAGAAAACTGGTGGTTCTTAGAAGGTGTTAGACCACTGACTACACAGTTATGAAATTGTGGTTCTTAGCAGTGAACAGATTACTGATTACATGTTAAGACATGATGATTCCTAGTAGTGGAGTGACTACTGATCATTTGTCAAGACATGATAATTCCTAGTAATGAAAGGAGTCTATTGATCCTATGTCAAGACGTTGTGATTCCTAGTAGTAGAGTGAGTACTGATCACATGTCAAGATATTGTGATTCCTAGTAGTGAAAAGTCTACTGACCACATGCTGAGAAATTAGAAATTCCTAGTGATAAGACTACTGGCCATGTTATGAAGTTCCGAATAATAGACTATTGAACACTAGATTTGTGTTTCCTAATAGTAAGAATATTACTTCAAAGTGACTTGTTTGGACCAAACATGTTTTGGTGCCTTGGCTTCAGGAAAAGAACTGACTCTGAACGATGTCCTGTTTATGTCAGACATTCGTAAGAACCTTTGTCTCGGGATCTCTCTTAAGCAAGCATAGCTTCCGCATGGTGTTTGAGTCTAATAAGGTCATCCTGACCAAGAACGGAATCTATGTGGGTAAGGGAAATATATTGGGCGGTATGTTTGAGCTCAATGTAATACTATTATCCCAAAAATGAATGAGAAATCTTCCTATTCCACTTATATGCTTGAGTCCCCTGAATTGTGGCATGGTAGATTGGGCATGTGAATTTTGACTCTTTGCGTAGATTAATCAAGTTAGATCGCATACACTTAGAAAATATGAGGAAGAAGAACTCCGAAAATATGAGGAAGAAGGAATATATTTCTGTTATATTCAAAACTTATTTTACAAGACCAAATGACACTCCTTATATAGGAGATATTACAAACATCATTATAACCCATTATATGCCACTTACATATTATATATTACCACTATCTACCACTATCATATTATATACATGCCACTATCTACCACCAATACCACTATCATATTCTATACATGCCACTATCTACCACCAACACCACTATCATATTCTATACATGCCACTATCTACCACCAACACCACTATCATATGCCACTATCTTATTATA